GAGCCACTGAAGTCAGCAAGCCAGGAACTGCCCTAACTCTGAACTTCTGGTTCTGGGGAATCATAAACCCCTGGTTGTTTATGATCCTTTTGGTCAAGCCACCATCTTCACACCTTGAGCTCACTCATTTTCCATTAGTCTGAGTGGGCGCTCAGTAGATGTCTAGACAGGTCTTGGCATTCAAGGTAAAGGCCTTAAAGGAAACAAACATTCCTCTTCTGAATAAATCAAAATGTGACTCCCTGATCCTTTATCTCCAGTGTTGGAACTGAAAACCACCTGCAGCTGCATGCCCAGATTCTTGTAGCTCTGAAAACACTTGTCCCCAGAGAGCCCAAAGGCCTCTGTGCCTTCCCGTACCTGGGACACTTCATTCAGGCACGCACGAGGTACTGTGCTGGAGCAGGCTCCCATCTGCCCGAGAGTCAACAGTGTGTGTCTCCTTCCAACTTCAAGTTCAGTGATGTCATGTTGGTAGCTTGAAATCAGCCATGGTGACAGATGTCTTTGTTTTGAATATGCTTTATTTCTTGAGAAAAGTTTTAAGTTCACAGCAAAATGGAGCAGCAGTTATGGAGGTTCCACCTACCTTATTTCGGCACATGCATAGCCTCCCCCATTGTCACTATCATAAAGAGTGGAATATTTGCTACACCTGATGAACTTACATTTACACATGGTAATCACCAAAGTCCAGAGCTTTCACTAGGGTTCACTTATGCTATTGTACATTTCATGGGTTTTTAAAACTGCGTAAGGACATGTAGCCATTATCATACACCCTAGACAGAGTAATTTCACTGCTCTAAATATCCTCTGTGCTTGGCCTATTCAACGCTCCCTTCCCCCAACTGTTGGCAACCTCTGATCTTTGTACTGTCTTTATATTTTTATCTTTCCAGAATGTCATATAATTAGAATCAGATGGTATGTAGCCTTTTCAGAGTGGCTTCTTTCACTTAGTAATATGTATTTAAGATTCCCCCACATCTTTTCATGACTGGATAGCTCATTTTTTAAAACCCAGAGTAATTAATATTCCATTGCCAGGATGTACCACTGTTTACTTACCCATTTACCTAGAGGAGGGACCTTTGGGTTACTTCCAAGTTCTGTCAATTCTGAATAAAGCTGCTAAAACATCAGTGTGCAGGTTTTTGTGTGGACATAAATTTTCAACTCCTTTGGGTAAATGACAAGTAGTGCGATTGCTGGCTGGATCATATAATAAGACTACATGTTGTTTCATAAGAGCCCACCAAACTGTTTCCCAAATGGCTGTACCATGTTGTATCCTCACCAACCATGAGTGAGTGTTCCTGTTGTTTCACATTTTTATGCATGTTTGATGTCAGTGTTTTGGATTTGGGACATTCTAATAGCTATGAAGTTAGTGTTAACTCACTGGTGTTTTAATTGTAATCCCTGAAGACCTATGATGTGAAGTGTCTTTCATATGCTTATTTTCCATTTGTAGATGTTCTTCAGTGAGATGTCTGGTCAGGTCTTTTGCCCATTTTTAAAAATCAGGTTATTCATTTTCTTATGGTTGAATTTTAAGAATTCTTTGTATAGTTTGGGTAATAGTCACATATCAGATTTGTCTTTTGAAAATGATTTCTCCTAGTCTGTGGCTTGCCTTCTCATTCTTTGGGCACACAGGGGTATTTACACTATAGAACTGGCAAATGATACAAATCAGGGTTTCCTCTTAGAGAACCAGTCATTAAACCTTTACCAGAACACCCCTGTATTTGTGTGTCAGCCATTTGTTGAGTGAACTATGTGCCTTTGAACTATTCAGGCTAATGGAAAATCAACAAATCACCGATACAGTACAGTGCTATGAGTATTGGGATAGCTGCAGGATGAGATGCTACAGTAACAGAAAGGAGGGACATCTACGTCACTCCTGACATTGGGATGGTTTCCTATGGAGACTTTGAGTCCCCAGCTAAGTATTTCAAAGTGACTAAGAGTTGTCTGGACCCATGCTACCTAGTAAGGTAGTCATTGATCACGTGCGTCTATTTTACTCACTTGTTCTAGTCAAATGTCAAGTATTCAATAGCCACATATGGCTAGTGGCCACCACATTGGACAGAGCAAACACGGAACTTTTCCATCATCTCAGAAAGTCCTATTGATGGGGCTGGTCCAGACAAAAAAAAGTGGAGAAAGTCATTCCAGATAAAAGGAACGGAAGGTGGGCGACTCAGAGGTCTAAGACAACATGGCTCACTCTCTAGTGGGACTGAAGTTAAGAATGCTGGGGAGCAGAGAGCTGGGGGACATGGCTGATCACAAAATACCTTTAGTGGGAAGCCTAGGAGGTTAAACCCCAGGATTAGGACAAGAGCCCAATGTCACCCGTTTGTGTGTTAATAAGATCTCTCTGGCTGTGGGAGGAGGCTGGATCAGAGAGGGCAACCCAGGAGGCAAGGAGACCAGTGTGGAGGCTGTTACAGAAGTAAGAGAAGTGAGGTCATGGTCTAGGGTGTGGACGTGGAGAGGGCAGAGCAGGGAGATGTGAAGGACCCCAGGACTGACCCTGTGGGACCCTGTAGGAGATACTTTGTAAATACTTGCTGATTTAACGAGTGAACCGTAGCTGAACCACACTGTACTACTGGGTGCGCTGATCCCCACATGACATGCTATCTTCCGTACAAATGAATGGGTGTGAGGCTGAAGGAAAAAGGGGCACCAAGGAGAGAGACAAAAAAGACAAGAGAGATGGAGGGCCAGGCTGGCATCCCTGTGTTTGATGGAGAGAGGGCTCAGGTGAGAAGGAAACAAACTCTGTTCATGGAACCCTGAGGGACCCTGGGCCCAGGCAGTGTTGTGTCTTTCAGAACTGGGAGCCGGCCATTCTCCAGCACTCCCCTCCCCCTACACTTCCCCAGTCTCCTTGCCACATGGATAGCAGGGCAACCAGTGTCCTAGACAATCAGGCTATTTCAGCAGCAGATAAATGCAATGCATAGCAGATCCACAGCATTGGGGAAAACACTGTCAGCCAGCAGGGGATGTGTGGGGCAATGGAACACAGCTCGAGAAGAAGACATGAGCAGATTGGAACCTAAACGTGTGAGAGATACCAGCTCCCTTCCCTGGACTCCCAGAGTACTCAGAGGAAAGCTGAGAGCAGTGGCTAAAGCTACAGTAATGTGGCTACTGTTACTATGACCTCATTTGAACCTACAGGTCTCTAAAGCCTGAGACATTTGAGTTACAGAATAAATGAGCAGATGAGACAAGGCAGCTTTCACCTGTTCATTCGATATGCACATATTTATTGCCGAATAAATATTTGGGCCATGCACAGTTCGAGATGCTGGGCATACAGTGGTTTATAAAACACAGCTCATCCCTGACCCACGGAGCTCACAGTCTAGCAGTTATACTGCACATCCTGGCACCCCCATCTGTGTGTGTGCTATTAGGAAAAGCATGGGATTCATGAGACAGTCTAATGGGAAGTTTTAGTTTAGATTAGGGGTCAGACTGTTTGAGAAAGTGACATTTAAACCCAGACCTGAACAAGAATTAGCAGGTGAAGAACAGGCAATGTGGATTCCAGGCAGAGAGATCTACAGGTATGAAAGATTTGGGACAAACCCTTGCCATCTGGAGGCAGGAAACAAGCACAAGAGGAAGCTGGAGAAGGGTCCTGGCAGGTGCCAGACTTCACAAGGCTGTGTTAGGACTTGGGGTCAAGGCTAAGTGCAATGGGAAGGAGAGTGGTGTAATCAGATTTTTACAAAGACTGCTCTGGTGTCAGCGTGAAGAATGCATGAGGCAAGAGGGAATGCCGGGAGAAAAGTGGGGAGGATATCATGGTTGCCAGAGTGAGGGAGCTGGGGTAGCATGGCCTTGAGAAATACTGTTTTTGAAACAATTGAGACAATAAAGGTTTTCTCCTACTCTTACCTTGGTGTAGACAGGCAGTCGTGTTGATTTTAGACAAGGCAACCAGCAAATATTTTGACTGTGCCAATCTATGCCCTATGTGGGCCACTTAGCTAAGACCTAGTCATGCAGTGAGGGCCGTGCTCCTGCCTCGCCCACGGCCCAGTGTGATGCGTGTCAGTTTTGTGTTTAAAGATTTCTTGAGAAAGCTTTCACAACTTATTCTGTAACCTCTGCTCATGTTTAAAATAATTTCTATTAGGAAATTTCTGTTTGTGTTTCATCTGAACGCCTGTCACTCGAGAGGGTTTTTTATTCCTGATGGAGATGAAGATTGGAAAATAACAAGTCATAGGCCATCAAATATGAGTGATGTCATAATGACAGTTCTGAATCATGTCTGTCCCTAAGCCAAAGTGACTTATTCATTAGTAACAACAAGAAACGGTGGAACATCCTCAGAAAACATCATCCAGTTAGGTTTTTGTAACTGGTGAGCTCACTGCCAAGTTCTTTGCCCTTGCTGCTTAGCATGTGGATCCAGGGACAGCACTTGGGAACTTGTTAGAAATGCGGGACTGGATGGGAACCTACATTTTAGCACGATCCCTGGGCAATTCATCGATACTTGAAATTCTGAGGCACACAGGCATATGTCACCCTGTGGCCATCTAAATGTGGTTGGGCAGCGGCAGGTGCCGGACGCTTGAAATGCAGTGAGCCTCAGTAAGCATTAGGGAACTGACTTTTCTCTGGAAGTTCCCTGTTCCAAAGTTGTGGAGTTATAGGAAACGCTGCACCCCAAATCAGAGACAGTGTACTGGCTGCTGGTGAGAGGTGCTGGGTGGACTCCCCTAGCATTGAGACGCTGACAGGTGGAAAACGGGGGGCAGGAAGCAACTCCATATACCAATCAGAGGTCAGGAAATGGAGCCTCACCCTGTCCCACCCGGTGTGGACAGTTCGGTTCCCAATTTCTTGGCGTGGTCCCTGAGAGCCTTGGTTTTATCTCAGCGGTATGGGTGACTCTCCTGCTTCCTTCTGGACTGAGGCACACTGACAAGCAGGACAAGGCAGTTTTAGCACCTTAGTAAAAAAATATCCCCACTTACTCCCACAATGAGCCTTGCTTGAACTTGTTTGCATGGGTTCTGAAAGCTCTGTCCATATCACCCATTCATGTGATCAGCTTCTCTAGGCCAAGGACCCCTGCCACAGCTTGGTGTTCTCCTGTCCCCCACCTGAAGGCTACACCACACAGACAACAGATACCTTCTGGCAAAACAGGGACAGTTGCTTTATTACTACTGCCTTCTCACAAAGTGTTTTTAAGGCACAAGATCTAGACCAGAACTGAGTCATTTGTCTCTGTCTTCACCAGGGCTGTTCCTCCCACAGACTCAGACAAATGGATGAAGTTTGTGGGCTGTTTAAAGCATATGGTTTGCAAATACTGTGAAATCAAACATTACTTTTGGCTTTTATTTACTGTAATGTCTCACATTACCTAGCACCAAGGTAACTGAAGAGGTCGTCTGTCTTGGCTCCCTTTCTCCTGTTCTTTTTCTTCTTGGGGCTTCTTGGTTCTTTGCCTTGCTTTGTTTCACCCTTTCCACCCAGCTTGGCCCCTCCCTCCTGCACTGGGTGCCCAAGGCCTCATAACACTATCCTGCCTGACCTCTTGCTCCCTCTCCTCCCTCTGCTTCTCATGTGAGGCTCTGGAATGTCTTCGCTGCTCTTCCTTCCCTGACTTTGCTTCCCGCGGCTGCAGCCACTTCTCTCTCACACTCTGCTTCCCCTGCCACTTTCAGGCCCTTTTCTCTTCCCCCAGTCTCCACCACAGAGTCCCTTTCTCCCCTCTTCTCTCTAAAGGGAGCCTAGGGATCAGAGAATCATAGAATCAGTCACAGGAACGGAGTGTACACTACTGGCAGTCACTTCTGAGCCAAAATCTCTCTTCTATTATCTTCAGTGATGGCTGAAGTCCCTTCCTAAAGCTGGAAGGGCTGGAGAGAGGAAATAAAGAACAGGCGCCCCTACCATGCACCCTTACCAACACTTTCACCACAGCCCTTCTCAGCATGTGTGCGTACACACACGTACATACATGTACATAAGTGCCCACATCTTTACATGTACACACCACAGACATGCACAGGTATGCATACACACACACATACACATATCCTTATAAGTGTCCTGTGTGCAGATGTGTTTGCTCCCAGGCTCCACAAAGGCACTGAGTGCCCCTTTCCTCCCAGACGGGCTGATCTGTGCTTCATACACCCAGGGTGTCACCAGGACACACAAATTTCTAGTTTGAGATGACAAGAAGGGACAGTGGCAATGAGGTTCTTCTCCCCAGGTACAACTCTTGGGAGAGGGGAGGCCAGCAGTGGTGCAACAGTACGATTGAACAGGAAGCTCATTTCAAAGCCAGCTCTTTCTTGGGGTCAGATTCAATCTATCTATCGATCTGTCCATCCCTAGTCAATGTTCTTGGCTTCCTTCTAGCCACTGGGCAAGGCACCTTCAAACAGAAAATCAAGAGGGAAAAGGAGCAGAACGCTGCAGAGACACTCCAGTAGCCACAAAAATGATGACTGTAAGTTCTGAATTCTTAGCCAGGGCTTTTCCAAGCACTTTATAGAGTCTGGGATTCTGCTTTCTTTGCAACTGGGGACATGAAGCATGGAGGTTATATCCAGGTAAGCCACGGCAGATCTGTGAAGAATCCCTCTGTTCCCCAGAGCTTGGTTCCTCACAATGTCTCTGTGACTCCATGTTGGAGACACTCTCCCATCAGCCATGGGGAACAGGACTGCCCCAGGGACATGGATTAGAGGAGGATGAAAGTCTCAGGGGGCATGGCTAGAGGCCAGCCTTGCAAAGAAAGCAGAATCCCAGATTCTGTAAAGTGCCTGCTCCCTGCTCAGACTTGCTTGGTGTCAGTGGCCATGGATCCGCGGCACCTGAGTTCTCAATAGGGCAGTGCCTACTCCGTGGAGAACTGAAGGGAAGCTACCCTGCACACCCTCCAGGTGAGTAAGACTTGCAGGTGAGCTAGGACATGCCCCACCAAGTCCAGTTCCACCCTGTGTTCTGTGTGTACACCCTGGGAAATTCCCAAGCCTGGAAGGCAGTGACGCAAATTCAAGGACAGGAAGAAGTCCTGCTTCATTTCCCTGCCCTCCTTCTCCACTCTCTCATTGCCTTCTCACACCTCTGAGGAGAGCAGAAAAAGAAGTATATCATTCTGCACCTGAGTTCCCTCTCACATCAACTAATTCACCAATTCAATTGCCAATAAATTACTATCATAAAATGTGTACACGCATAGGCATACATATATACATTGTGTGTATACATGAGCATAATATACATCATCCTATGTGCATGTATATGTAGTCACGCAGCCCAGCCTCTCCCCTGGTCCTCTCTCTTATGGGCAGCTTCAGACAAAAGCTCCTGAAGCCCCCACCCAGAAGGGTTCATCGCATCATGGGTGCCACGTAGTTGGCAGGGAAGAGGCCCAGTTTGTTGTGCAGTCGGCCAGTCCACCAGGATGGGTTGGAGCTGTCCAAGACTTCAACCACCTCTCCACTGCGGAATCCCAGCTCGTCCTCCTCCAGGGCTTCGAAGTCATACAGTGCCCGGGCCCAGCGCACACGCTGTGGGGGAAGCAAGAGAGACTGCTGACCATGGGCTGGCAGGCTGGTCTTTGGAGCCATGGTCACATGGAGCCAAACTGAGCCCTACAGCACAACCCTCCCTGAAGGCAGACCCCACTGCAACCTGAATCAGACTGAACACCCATAGCCCTGAGCACAAAGTTGCCGGAACCCACTGGCTTCATTCTTAAGATGCAGGCCTTGCTCTTCTGTTTGGTTTTTGGAGTGGTGGGGATAGGGATGGATTCCAGGGCCTCACCTACATATGTTAGGTAAATGCTCTACCTCTGAGCTACACCCCCAGCCCCAAGGCTAAGTGAGGTTGAATCCTGATTAAGATGGGTCATAATGGGGGCGGGGGTGAAGGAAGGAGATTAAGGTGACGGAATATGGTCGATGGACTCCATATACCTATATTAAACAGAACTAAAACACCTCTTGCAATTGCTTTAAGTGGGGTGGAGAGGGGGTTGAGGGGAGAGATGATGGGGGCAATTTAAATAATGTACAATACAAGCCTATTCAGAATTGCCACTATGAATCTCTCCCATATAATGAATATATCCTAATAAAAATTTATAATAATAAAAAAAAAGATGGGTCATAAGGACAAAGACCACTGAGCTACCACTGCCAGAACTAGAGCCAAGAAGTATGAAGACAGGACAGGTCAGACAGCCAGACTGAGGAGCGAGCTGGATGGCGCCAGGCTGCAGCCACTCCACACACTCCCAGCTCACTCACCCCTGCCACCTGGAGTTGTACAGGGTCTGTGTGTCGCCGATGCATGAGGGCAGTGTTCATTTCGCTGCCTGTGCCCACGCCACAGTGCCCATCGTTTATGTCCAGGCTGCCTCCACGGCGGTCCTAGAGACAGATACAACAGGGGGCCCATCATGCTACTGCCAGGGGCATCACTCACAGGACCCCTCCCACCCTCACCCTGGGCCTTGCTGGAGTGTCACTGGCACAGCCAGTTTCCAGGAATTCTTGTTGAGCATGATGGAGAGAGGGGAAGGAAGGATGAAGTGACCCTCAAGTCTGAAGACGATGATGGTGGTGGGTTTCATTTGTTCAATTGAGAAATGTCTACTCGGAAGGTCTTGTGCTGCGATGCCTCAGGCATTAAATAAATCTGTATCGTTTTGAGATGGGATCTGGCTATGTAGCCCAGGCTGTACTCAAACTCACGATCCTCCTGTCTCAACCTCCCAAGTGCTGGGATTACAGGCATGTTCTACCACATTCAGTTTGTATGTTCTTTGTTCCTAGTTAATTTTTTTAAAAAAGTATTTACTAGGCACCTACCATGTGTCTGATACTGTACAAGACAGATACTGTACATTCCTGGAAAGAGAAGGTCCCTGCCTCCAGGGAGCTTTCATTTAGAGGGAAAACCATACACATTAAGGTACTAAGCAAACAGACAGAAGAGTGTCTAGTCAGTCTGGGAAAATCAGGGAGGCTTCATGGAGGAGGCAATGCTTGAACACCACTTTAAAAGGGGAATCAGACTAGCTAAGGAAGGGCCCTTCAAGCAGAGGGAGGAGATTTAAAAAAGCCACAAAGAGAAGAAAATGCAGTGGGCATTCAGGTAACTAGTGGTGGTGCAGTGTTGCTGGAATGTGGATTTGTGTGGGGTTGGGAGTGGTAGATACGGGCAGCTCACAAAGACTCTGTGTGCCCCATGTAGAGAACACAAAGTCTTACTTAACAAGCTGCAAAGTTCATCTGTACTCTGGGTGTAGTGCAGTTTAGAATCGGTGAGCTGCCAGACCTCTAGACTACAGATAAATAGCTGCTGCCAACACCAGGACACCATCTGTATGGACAGGACTGATAAGGCATGCAGCCAAGAAATGCCCAATATGGCGTCTGATATGGTGACACTTATGCTAAGATGTGATGATGGCTACAGCAGCCTGCCACTTACCCCACTGGTGTAACCAATCAGCAGAGGACTAAATGACCTAGGAGGGGAGTACACTGGAGGAAAAAGACATATCAAAAGGACACCTGCTGAGGACCCAGCAGAGTGTGCTCTTCAAAGTCCTGTGATGCTCTCTCCAGCATGAGTCTCTCCCTGCCAGAGGATCTCTCTCTCTCCTGAGTAAGAGAGGTCTTGCTGTATAGTAGCTCTCTCCCCACCCCAGGCATATTGAGCTCCCAGGATTCTCCGCACAAGGGGTTCCCTTGTGGAACACAAGTCTTACCTGCCACAGTGCCCTGTGGGGTGACTGACCCCAAGTCACGACTCCCTCTTGGACCTCGTAAGTGTGTGTTTGAAGTGTGAATAAATGTTGTTGCATTGACCCAAGTGTCTGAGTGGTCTTTAAGAGACATGGCTGTAGTTTCAATGCCTCTATCCGAAGTCTGCCTTGGGCAATAACCAATAACCCAATTCCACCGAAGGGATACTTGCCCAGGTTCAGGACATAGGTAACTTCTCCCTTGTGGGAAGGAGGATGAAGTCCTGTTTAAGACACCCCACTAAGGAATTTAGGACTGATGTTATCCAGTCCTATTGTCCATCTTGGTAAGCTGCCTGAAATCCCATCTGGAACAAGCAGGGGATAAATAAATAAATAAGCAAGGTTCCATGGCGGTGCTAATCCTTTTTTTTTTTTTTTCCTGTGGATCTCCACAGCCAGATGGGTTAAAATGAAACAATTGTTCACGGAGTCCTCAGTGTGTGTGTGTGTGTGTTTGCAGGCAGAGAGCTGTTTAGTGCACAGAGACTTCTTTGCCTGGACCCATTTCCATATTTCAGCCATTTGGGGACCCCAGGAGCTCCTTCATGAACTTTGTGTGACCCAGCCAGGCTTGGCCAGGCCTGAGATGTGGCTCCTGGGCCAGCCTGGAAGGAGGGAGGTCCTCCTACCTCACCATGTGCCCTATGTTCTCTCCAGGTACCTGATGAAAATGATGGTGCTGTGTATACCGCTGCTGCAGAGGGGGCTGCGATCCTGGAGGAAACTGAGGGGGCTGCTGATGGTGGTGGTACTGTGAGGGAAGGGGAGGCGGATGATCTGACAGCTTTCGGTTCATGGCAGGCCGGACCTCCTCTCCCCCAGCCCCACTGAGGGATGGGCCTCCCTGGGACCTCCGGTCCACACTGTTGCCCCGGCGACCCTGGGAGAGAGAACAATGATGACACCCATCCATCCTCCTCCCAGATCTCCTGGCCCCTGCAGGAGAAGCCTCTGGCAGCTTCTAGAATTTGCTTTTCACAGCTCCAAGGAGTAGCAGGTGGGTGGGGGGCCACTTAATAAGAACCAATCGTTTGGACCTCTACATTTTTCAAAAAGCAGCCACTGTATTTTCTCAGATTTTCCTTGTTTTAGAAGTTCCAGCCCTTGGTTGACACAGTAACACTTTCCATGTGGTGCCCATTCAGTCCTTTTCTAGTAGGTTTGTTTTGCTCCGTGTAATCAAGCTTAAATATTCCATTTTACGGACACAATGCCACCCCTTCTTATCACATGTTGCCACGCTGCTGGACATCCTACCCTCCAGATAAGCTCTGCTGTTGACATCACATGATTTGAGCAGTCATTTACAGCTTGGTGATGGGGACTCAGACAGCAATAATTATGGCAGCATCATGGAAACCAGGCCTGCAAAGAGGCACCTCAGGGGAGCATGGCCTTTCTACTTCATGCTGTGACAACTCATGAATCAGAAATGCTTTATTGCTATTTTCATTTAGTAAACAATTACAGAGCCCTGGGCTTAGTATATGCTGGTGTTTTACAAATATTAATTCATTTAATCCAGTTTAATGCGGTTTCATAGTGCCTCTCTTCTTCCTGAACGCACATCTTAGTAAGTTAATGCCCTGTCCATTTCCTGATGAAAATAATTCACAAGGTCTTGGTAAACCTTGGTTTTCCTTCTGAATTTCTGTGTGCACTTGGTGAGAACACCCTTTTCTCTTTTGATTAGAACTTCTCAGCCTTAAAAACAGCTGGCAGCTTGGAAGGGAAGGCTTTCTTTACCTCCCCAAGGCACACAAGACTTTAAAATTCTCAATACCTTTTCAAATCACCTAGTCAGTGCTTCTTCCTATAATACCTGGGTATTACAATCACATTTTTTTCCTTGAAAGTTTGTTTACACATTGCATGTGTGTGTGTGTGTATGTGCACACCTGTGTGAGTTTACTTATGGGAAGCATATTACCATTTCCTTAGTTCCTATGAACCAGGGCTGTGACTACATTATACTTGTATCATTCTCTCCATTCAACAGATGAGAAAACTGATACTCAGAAAGTGTTCTTGTCAAGGAAATATGGACAGTTAGCAATTAAATCAGGATTTCATCTGAGGTGTTTCTATTAACAATACTCTGTATTCCAAATATTTCAAAGAGGAAAAATTCTAAGTTTTTTCCTCCAGTTCCTCTCTACCCCAAGGCTATCACAATGTCCCCCTGGTGCTTTGTAATGGATTCTAGACTACTCTCTAATAACCCTGTCTGTAGCCCCCAACTCCACCTTTGGACAGCACTGGAGCTGGATTGAAAATTGTGATATTGAAAAGTCTATGAATACCAAAATAATAGCATCCCCAATATGCTAATATTTATGGAGCATTTGCAGTGTGATTAGGAGTGATTGTGTTCTCTTGTCTTCACATCTTCCTGAGGTGGATATTATTCTTATCCACCTTGTATGGATGAGGAAACTTAGGCTCGAGAACTTTCCAAAGCTACAAGCTAGGAAGTGTTAAGCTAGAGCTGAAATTGAGATCTGACTGCAGAGTTACTCTGTCTTTCAGAATACTCTGAAGCTCTGTCCAGCAAATGCATTTTCTGGATGGTTTATGTGGGGACTCCAGATGCCTAAGATCGCTATGTCAAGGTTGATGGGGACCTGAATCATACCTGGTCCTCTTGGGTTCTATCCCGCAGGAAGATCTGCTTCTGTTTAGAGATGGATGTTGTTCGATAGTAGTCCACCAGCTTATTTAAGGATGGAAACTTCTCAGTCCACAGGAAGTAGTTACCCTTATTGTCTCGCATGACCTTAAAGTGTTGAACATCATCCTCATGCCTGGAGATCAAGGCAAACCCAAGTTACATGTTACATGGTGACAGAGTCCCTGCCTGCAGAGCTGTTTGTGCCCAGGAATGGTGGAGTTCTATTTGGGTAGGAAATGGAAAGATGGGTGGCTTGCCCATCATTCAGGGCAGCTTTACATCAGCAGACGGTAATTACAAGAGCTGGAATCTGCCTCAGACACTGAAACCAACATTCACTAGAAAAAAAAGGTTCAAAATGCCTTAAAGACTAAAAGAATCTTTTATAACATTTATCTGAAACATGGCCACAGCAGTGTCCTATACTATGCTAAGGACTCTGTAGCAGGAAGGTTTTTCAAGCCTCTGTTATCTTTCTGTTATCAGAAATACTTTGAACCATCCATTTAAGGCTGTAATTTATGAGCTTAAAGGAATTTGTCACATGTTTTCCTCTACATAATGAGGATTTCTTGTCTTGGTTTATATATTGCATAAATAAGGTTACAAAGCATTTTGAGCTTTATTTGGGGGTAGTGGAGCACTATAGGGAATTGTTGAGTTTAATTGGAAAAAGACCTTTAAGATTGTTCAGCCTTCTCCATTTTCTGAGGACACTAAGGCTCAGGGAGGTACAGGGGCTTGGTCAACGTCACTGTACTAGTGGCAGAGTTGAGGCAATAACCTCCATTCTGGTTCCAGTCTAGTGAGCTTGGCCTGTCATGTTATGTAAACGTGCTAATTTTAGATTAGCATCTTTTGATACAAGTTTGGACTCCAGTTATGAAGCAGATTTTATACATCTGAAAAGAAGAGACTGGGCTTTACTATCAGTTCCAGTCTTCCTCCATTGTCAAGCCATTCTGTCTTAGAATAAAGCTTATTTTTTAAACAGACATACATTTATATCTAAAGATACACTGGTGCTAATGTTCCATGGTCTGATCTAGCAGAGTTCAAGAGTTTTGGAGTCTAGAGATACCTCTGAAAGTTAGTAGAGGCTTCTTAGGGATGGGTTTTGGGGTCTCTGTTTGAAGGGGACAGGAATTCTTTTTTTTTTTTTTTTTTTGGCAGCACTGGGGCTTGAGCTCAGGGCCTCACACTTGTTAGGCAGGTGCTCTACTACACACCTCAAGCCTCAATGAGCTCTTAATTATTTGCACCTCTGGCAGAAAGCAGATGTAAAATAAAAATGATTTTGCTTTGGAATATGTTTATGCTAAATTTCCACAGAAGATATAACAGAGACTCTGGTAATAGTCACCATAATAAGAAGCTGCATTGCCTCAACACCAGGGAGGACTTTGGCAGAAACTAAGGCTGGTCTTTTTGTAGAATTTGTTTCAATCAGGGAAATAGAAACCATAAAATCCTAGCTGAAAAAGTCAAGTTCATGAAAACCAAAAGCACCAAGAGATGCCCTTCAAAGGCCCTTAAAAAGAGGTTTGACTTATAAGGTTTATTAATGGAGCAAAATTTCATTAACTAAGAGCTCACGAGTTCAGAACTGGCAATACATTAACACTGGCCTGTGCAAAAGTTTACCATTGCCCAAGCTATGAAAGAAAGAGTTATCATTAAGGAGAAGGAAGAGTTTAAGCAAGATTGCAAAGGCAATGCTAAAGGGGCAAGCATATGTGCACAAATGGTTGACCTATCATCTGTAAGTCCTTCCTACCTTTGTTTAAGAATATCTGTTCTTTTAAGGAGTGAAGTAGCCACAGTTTATTACCTGAGATTAGCTTTCTGTACTGGAAGCAATAAAGCTGTACGCCTTTCAAAATCAATTGAATAACCCAGACCTGTAGCTCCTGTCAATTCACTGGACAGGAGACTTTCACAGTACAGGCAGTCTTGCCCTCTACTCTGCTATCAGCTGCATCAGCTGCATTTCTTGCACTTTTGTATGTGGTCACCAAGTCAGATTTGCAATCCTTGACATGCCTTCAGACCTGGGGCTTCTCAGTTTGGGGCTGTGTCTTGTCTGGGCCTAGATTGAGTCACTTCCTCCTAGGTGCCACAAAGGAGCCACATTTCACAGTTACGGGCCCCCCCCCACTCCTCCCCATGCATTGGGCCCTGCTCAGCTCTGTTCTCTGTTCTCAGCTTTGCTGCATGGCTCTGTGCTGAAGCAGCTTTGCTTTGTGTTCAGCTGCCTATGACCGCATAGCATCCTACAGCAGTGTCCTGGGATTCCTGTTTTTCTCCTGCCCTTCTTCAGACATGTATCAGCAGAAAAGGTTACAATTCAACCCTACCCCCCACTCCTCATAGATGTGGCCAAGAGTTCTCCTTTCCTTCCTCTCCCCTCCTTTCTTCCATGAATACTTTTTGATCATCTACAAGGTACAAAGCTCTGTCAAGAGCACAATGATGAAGTAGATAATAGCCCGGAAGCACCTGGGCTAGTGGGGAGGTAGATGAACATACACATAATTTTAAGCACAAACCAATGTGCTGAGGAGATAAGGATACATGTTCTGGGGAGGAAATGGATAGCACACAGTTGGTAATATGCCACAATGCTTTGTCCCCTTAGCCACCATGCTTCTGATCACTGGGTCCTGTTTGGGAGGCCACCTCATGGCTTAAGCAGTCTAGAAGAGAAGGGTCAGGTAGTGTTGGGAGTGACCAGTACCTGACAGAGATGGAGAAGTCACCTGGCGAGCTCTGGCTGGCCCGGATGATGAAGAAACCAACCTCCTTGCCCATTAGTAAGCTTTCTGCCTGGTGTCTCGAGAGGCCTTCATGAAACCACCTGTGCGATGAGACAGGACAGGAAGATCCCCATGAGACGCTTGATGGTGGGGGAAACTGACGAGGTTACTCAAGGGACCCCATCCGGCAGAGAGCAGAAAGGGATTAAAGGTGTGTGTGTATGGTGTGGGGGCTGGAGGGGAGGCACTTTCTAAAACCCAACAAAGGCTCTCAGCATTTTTAAGAAAAGCAAGTAAGTGTTCCTCTGGACTCACCCTCTTTGTTCCTTCCCTCCGGGAGAAGTCTCTCTCCAGCTTGGAAAACTTGCATCACAGAAATGTGCCACTGCACCAAATCGGGGCAGAGTGGGAGTGACTCACTGCGGGAAGCAGCCGCCTGCCGCAGTTGTGTGACAGACAGAAAAGAACTACAGAGGATGCATGGGAAGGGGCTGCTGAGGACACTGGGGTCACCAGGCCAAGCTGGGGGACAGGTCTTGACCTCAGCGGCTGGAGAGCCTCCCCTGGCATTTGAGGAGAGTTACAGGCCAGGGACTTGGGACACCTGGGCTGGCATGGAGCATGAGAGACTTTGCTGAGGGAGTCCTGAACACGCTTGGAAATGAGTAAGGCTGACAGCAGTCAGAGAGCTGCATCCACACAGCCGGCTTCTTTGGATATCTTTGTGAGCAATTCCTTGTGTCTTTGGGCCCTCCCCCCAAAAATTCAGACTGGAAACTCATCTTTACTGTGGAAAAGAAGAAAGAGAGGAAAAACCACATTTTCAATAGTGTGATCAGAGCAGCAGGCCCTGGAATGTGGCAGGACATGGCATGGTGTGCATGACAAAGTCGAACACTTATAAAGGGCAAGGCAAAGTGTCTACAGCCTCTGGGCAAAAGGCCAGAAACCTCTCTCAACACTAGAAAAGCAAAATGAGGGTTTGTGGTCACTCAGCAGCCAAAGGTGGGGCAGTGTAACATTGCTTCAAGGTTGCTGCTTTAATTGCTCCACCAGAATGCTAATACACATGTCCCTTTAAGACAAATGCCAGACAGACCTCAGCTTTGGATTCCTTTGTGAGCTACTCCTGTGCCTTCTAGAATGTGGGATCCTGGATTGGAGACAGGGATGGCAGGAGCAAAGTGCTTATTCCAGACCTAGCCAGAAGGGGGAAGGCTGCTGGTGCCTGGAGGGGTCAGAGGCCAGTACTGGAGATCCTGCCAGTGAATTTGCCACATACCCTTGCAGTGCTGAATGAGCACTTGTCATGTCACTGCCACGTGTGGGAAGCACAGTAGGGATGGAAGAAGGAACTATGCTCTCTACAGTAGCCGTAGCAAAAATGAAAGTTTCAGGGGGAGCTAGAAAGTACATTTGCTCTAACTGGAACTGGATAAGTGATTTCTTTCAAGACTTCCAAATATATCCACACACTACATATTAGACATGAGTGGTAACTAGGGTTTCAATATTCCACCTCACTCCAGAGCTACTCACTCACTCAACAGCTTTACTGAACATCTGTTGTGGTGAGGGGCCTCTTTTGGGTGCTGAGAATATGGTGGTGGGCAGAGCAGACAAGTGACCCTGACTTCAGGGAACAGACATTCCAGGGGGCTAGGAGACACACAATAAACAACAGAATAATCAAAATGGATGGGATGCCAGAGGACAAGCAAAACAGTGGAGAAAATGAAAATAAAGAGGAGAGGTGGGGGTGGAAGTAGGTGTGAAGGTGGGAGAGTCAATTAAATATGGTGACAGAGTCACTTGGTGGTAGAGCAATTGTGTAGCAAGGCCCTGGGTTCCATCCCCAGCACCTTTATCTATCTATCTATCTATCTATCTATCTATCTATCTATCTATCTATCTATCTATCTATGAGAAAGACTTTACTGAGAAGGGAACAGTCTCAACCCAAAGAGCTGTGAGGAGTGAGAAAAATTCATCGAAAGAGATAGAGGAGGAGCAGCCAGGAAGAAGGGTAGAATGATGGGGTGGGAGGAAGGTGTCCCAGACTCCAGAGGAAGAATGTTTCAACAGGAAGGAGAGATGCCCAGGTCCAGTGGTGCTGAGATGATGGCTAGGAATGAACAGCACGGACCTATAATTCAGGAAGGTTCAAAGGAGTCCTGGGGGCTCCAGAAAGAAAGGAGTGGAGGAGTTGGAAATACTGGAAGGGATTGGAGGTGGAGTTTTATGTGTTTATTTTTTGGCGAGACAGGAGGAATTACAGCGTGTGTGTTTGCTGACAGGAATGATCCAGCAGAGGGACAGAAAGTTGATGTGGGAGAGAGAGGGGAGAATTTCTGCTAGAAGCCCCACAGTTCCTTCCTGGCAGTTGCAGGAAGGCAAAGTGTCTGAGCAATGTGGTTGCAGGAGGTGTTGGTGTGTGGGGAGAAGTGGGGTGGTAGGGGAGACAGAGGGAGGGGAACGGGGAGCTTCTCTTCTGGTGGCCTCCATTGTCCCTGTGCACCTAGGAGCAAGTCCAAGGACTGAGAGGGAGGCAGGGGAGAGATGCTGGAGCTTAGAGGCACAGGGAAAGTATGAAGTGGTCACTTAGCAGGTGTCTGGGCAGCCCCCAGGGCCCAGGTGAGGTCAGTGGCTATTCTGCTTAGTAATGGTTAGTACTGGGTCACTGCAAGTGGCGTTGCCACACCTTGCAGAATCATCAGTACTACTTTTGTTTTCTTACAAACCTGTGCTCTTGGGGCTAGACCCTGGGTCTGAGACAAGATTAGATTTCTATCTAACCCTTGCGGTCAACTCTTGAGACAAATGATGCAATCTCAGTGTTTCGTTTTCTTCTTTCTGAAGGGAATTTCCCCGTTTCCCCACCTGCAACTCTGATTGTGGTGAGCATGCCTTAAGGAAGGCAGGGAGTGTCCTCACTCACACCAGTAAGGGGAGAGCTGTTTGGGCTCCCCAATTAGGGTGAAAGGTGAGGTTAGGAGGTAAATGGAGAGGTGCCTTGAACCAGCAGCTTTCACAGTGGAGAGGCCAACAGTGTCCCCTTTGGAAATTTTGGAAACTCTGTGATCCCAATTATTATAGGTGATTTTTAATTTATAAACTCCTTTTATTAAAAAAAAAACAAACTTAAAATAGGCACATGGTGTAAACTTCAAAAGGGAATGAGATGAAATGCAAATATTCCTCCCACCTTGGCCTTCCGCTGTGTGGTTCTGGAGGCTCTGGAGGGAGATCTCCAGAGGCAGTTGTTTCTGACAGTTTCATGGGTATGCATGGATAATTTTAGTGATGACTGAAAAAGTAAGGGGAGCATGTGTGGGTAGGCCCATCTCAGCAGGCTGCAAATACTTACTCAGGAAACTGGATGTCTATAAAATTCTTGGGCACATATCCTTCTTGGCTCCCAAGCTCTGCCTTGAGCCACTCCTCCTGGTTACTTAAGATCTGCATGGAAGAGAACAAAGGACAATGACCAGGGTACTGCAGCAGGGGGGGGGGGGGGGGACGACAACGACACACAACACCAAAAACTGCAAGAGGGAGGTGCTATGGGGCAAAGAGAAGAATAAGCCCAAAGAACTGGACAGTGGCTGTAGGATTTTCCCCAGTGCAGGAGGAGGGGACAGGGTTGGTATATCTTTCAGTTTATCTTCTCTTGGCCATTAGTTCTTTCTGTCCACTTCTGCCACCCACTCATGTCACACCACTGTAGTTTGGCCTCTCAGACCCAGCACTCAGGAGCCTCCCTGAATCTCTTTCTCTTTCCACTTTGGAAATTTCTATGTCCCAGATCTTTGCACCTTCAATTTCTCATTTGGACAGATGGTGGGAAGGTAGCAATGGCTATTCCATGACTTTTTCTCCTCTTCCAGGTAAATGGGAAACTTAAAAAAAAGTCTATTATTTTAAAAAAGAAGATTAAAATTTAGATACCCAAGTGGGACCAGTTTTAGAAATAGAAACTCTGTGTTCATGCTCTGCGTGCTTCACAAGTAGTTGGGATGGCTTTTGTAAACTTGTTGTTAGAGCCAGATTGCAAGCGAAACCAAAAGTTTTGTCTCGTCACTACACTGTCCTATTGTGACTGTCACTCACATTATCACCTACCTTGGCTGCTCATATTACTCATCAGACCTGGCTCTACGTGGCTTCTGGTTATTTCAGAAAATGGAAATTCACTGTTAAAAGCATTTGTCACGCCCACTGAGAGTGCTTCTGAAGTATGTGACATAGACTTGAACAATATTCTAAATGAGAATGGCAGAGCAAAAGACCGGAAGAACCTTGATGATGCTATCAAGCCACCGAATTAACTGCCCTGCAGCCCTCCAACTTGTGGACTTTGAGATATAAATAACTCCTCATTATTGTTGAAGCCATTTTTAGTCTCTGTTTCTTATAGCTGAAATGTCTTCATAGATTGAAGTGCTTGGATGGAGAGGAAAACAGAAAATGGATAGGAAAGACTGCTTGGAGAAGAGGCCACCTGCCCAGGCAATAAAAGTTGTTACTCAGGCGAGGTCAGATGGCAAAAGAACCACTTCTGGGATATGAGGAAATGTGGTGCATTCCGGGAGCTAAGTGCCTCAGTATGGCTTGGGTTTCGATTGTGAATCCAGGAGAGTAAGGGAAAGTCAGAAACACAAAGGGCCTTACAGCCCTTGTTGAAGGGTTTGTATTTTTAATCTCAAACTTTATGGAGAGCCACAAGAGGATTTTAAGGAGATAATAGTAAGAACGAGAGTTAAAGAGCTCTGTATCAGAGTGTGAAGATGAACTGGGGATGGGGTAAAACCAGAGGAGGAACAGAAGCTGAGTGTAACCCTCCCACCCTAGGCAAAAGATGATGGGTCTGGACTAAGAAGAGATGAGGATGTAATTTAGAGGAATCGAGGAAACAAATGAGGCAGGATTTCATGACTATTTGGGGGGACTAAGGGAAAAGGGGATTCTGGGAAGACTCCTGATTTCTAGCTTGGGAGACTGAGTGGGTGGTGATATCTTTACTGAAATAGAAAGTAGAAGGAGGAACAGAAGAACTCATGGGCTTCTGATTGTACAGAGTGAGTTCCAGTTGAATTCTTCAACTGAGAAGAAAAATTCAGTGAGTCGTTGATATGTGTGTTAGACTCAAGAGAGAGGTAGGGACTGGAGACTGGGATTTGAAGTTCATTCAAAAGGGGATGGAGTTGAAGTCACAGGTCCTATAGCTTTCTCTCTCCCAGAAAAAAAGCTGGAAAGAGAGTTGCACAGTTACAGTACATGCTGGAGAACCAATGGTGACCTAGTTCCAGTATTACTCCTGAGACGGAAGGTAGGAGACGACATCATGAGTGTGGAACCAGAAGACCTGGTTCCTAGCTGGAAGTGTGGTGCATTCTGGGAGCTAGGTGCCTCAGTTTGGCTGGAGTTTGGATTGTGAATCCAGGAGAGTGAGGGAAAGTCAGGCAAGTGACACCAGGCAAGTCAATTAGCCATCTAGAAACTGGGGATAATAATAACCCCAGCATCTCCCAGAGCTGAGGTGAGGATCAAATGAACTCTGCGGTAGCTGGAAGTCCTTCCGAAAGTGTAGACTCTTTTGAAAAATATAGTTCTGTCGAATGTGATCACCTTACAAGGGAAGGCTCTGACTCTGAAGGACATGGAAGGGTTTATGTGTTTGGGATATAATCATTTGTTCTGAAGAAATACAAGTGTGTTCCATATTTGAGTTCAAGAATTGCTCAGAAAACTATAGTTTCAGACATCAGATGTGACTGTTGGTATCATAAGGACACATGGGTATGCTTTGTGCTGGGGGAGGGAGGAGGGGAGCGCAAAATCTAGGTCAAAGGAGGAGCTAGGGAACTTCGTAGTGGTGCCTGCATCCACTTACAGAGCACCAGAAATTTCCCTCTGTGTCACCGCTCCCAAACTTACAGCTTTGGAATTCCTTTATCCCATCGCAGGCGAACACAGTGCTGGGTTGGGGTGGCAATATCAAATCCAAAGCTGAGCAGAGAGGAGGTGAAGGAGGCTATTTGGAAATTGGCTTGTCATGGTACAAAGCACACTTTGTACCTTGTTCTCTGACCTGAAGCAAGCTGTAATCTTAGTAATCACGGCTCATCCCTACCTAACTACCTCTTCTAGAAATTGAAACGTTATTCCTCCTTGCTGGTCATTTCTCCCCGCCACCTGGTGCTTGGTCTGCCTGAGATTGTTTCCAGAGAGGTAAATTTACAGGCTTTTTATAGTGTATAGAAGGCAAAGTCTTAAAAAAATCTCATTTTCTGCAAAGAAAAGTACTTGGGGAGGGGTAGTGTGGCGGGGAGGAGGTGGTTTCTTCCTGCCGTTGTGGGCCCAGAGCCCGTAACTTCCTGTTCTTCTCATCTCTCCATCAATACGGTTCCCCCTATCTCTTGTACCCATCGTGTAAACCTGAGCCAGGAGTTCAGCCTCAACACAAGAAGCTTTACACTTAAATGGCTGTATCTCACTTCTTAAAATGTTCCCTAAGAGAATAATTTTCTGGGTTACATGGCCTGAGAATAAGTTAGATGTGGGAAGAGAAAGACCAAAAGTACAGCTGGAAAAAATTCAAAATTGGATGAAATTACAGCTCTTAGAGGCATAGCAGAGAGCTGAAGGATTGAGAAAGTTAATTATGTAGGATTAACTCAGTGCTTTTAGGGCAGTCTTTTAGTAGGAAGAATCAGGGTTGAGGTGGACGCATTACAGAAGCAGAAATGGATGGGGTCAAGAGACATTTTTCAAAGCTGCTGGCAAATTCCAATGGTAATTTCCAAAGTCAAGTCCAGTGCTGTGTGCAGCTACAGGTATAGGGGCTTGTGACACTAACATTGTGACTGATTCCTGATTTCCTTTCCAAACGTTTCTTTCCCAGGAGAACAGAGGTCAAGTCATCCAGCAGAGGTTCATCTGTTTACCATTCCATACAGATCAGCATCTAGTAAGCACCTACTGTTTGCAATTAGGTACCAGGAATACAGAGATGAATGACTTGGGGCCTTCGCTCTGGGGAGCTCACAGTAAGGAGGGTGGTTGGTAGCTAAGACACTTTTTTGTACCTTTTTAATGAAAAACTGGTTAGTCTTTAGGACTGAAGGCAGAGCAGGAGACAAGAGCACCCAAAGTGAATTGCTGGGATGGTCAACAGCTGGCTCTACAGTTAATTGCAAGTTAATTGCAGTTAATTGCACACCCCTGGGTGTATGTTCTATCTCAGGGTGGGAGGGGCCAACATTGCAGTGGGATGTGGAGAGCCATGAGAACAAATGGTCATCAAGTAGAAATGCTGTGAGCTGATCTGGGTGCACGCTGTCTGCATTTTTCTCTTTACCACTATAGCTGCAATGGCAGAATTTGAAAAGTGAAAGAGGATTGATTTTCTGATAGAATTCTAAATAAACATGTAGAAATACAATTTATCAACTCAAGAAATATGTACTGGGCTGGGAAGACAGAAAGATGAACCTGGCATGGCTCTGCTCTCACAGCGCTCACCAGTGGGAGAATTCATCACTCATTGAAGATTGGAGAGGGCCAAATTTGTGCTGTGGAAACACTGAGGTGAATATGGCTCCAGCCCTCAGAGAGCTTTAGTGAGTCAAGTAGCCAATACAGTAATGGGTAAGTAAGATCCCACGGAGTGGGCTGAGGTGCAGTTCAAGTGGTGGAGAACTTGTCTAGCAAGCAGGAGGCCCTAGGTTCAATCCCCAGTACCACAAAACAAAAGAAAAACAAAAGCCATGCAGGTAAGGACTGCAGTGAGAATGGATGCTGGGGGTGCAGCCTGTCCAAAATGTCACATGAGGTAACATTGTAAGTGTCTCAGAATGAAGTGTGTGTGAAATGTTGGGAAGAGCTGAAGAGGGAGGAGTGCCCGGCAGAGGTGACAAATATGTGTGTGCAGAGAGAAAGACACATCACAGTCTAAGACAGGACAATGTGTATGCTGTAGTGGAACCTGGTGTGTGTGTGCGCGCGCGCGTGCGTTTGCGTGGGAGCGTGATGCGATTGGGTGGTGTGGGCGAGCCAGATGGTGAACATTTCAATTGATGGGTAGTGAGAACCCCTGAATGCTTTTGAGCAAGGAAATGATAAGACCTGATTTGTCTTTTAGGAAAATCCTTCTGGGACCAGTATGTAGAATGATTGAAGGAGGAAGAGACAGGAGGCAGGGAGGTTAGTCAAGGGGCTGTGGCAAGTCTGTGCAGACAGAGGCAGCAGGAACGGATGTGCTGATAACACAGTAACGGTTTATTGAGCTTCTGCTTTGGGTCTCTAATCCTTTCCTGGACCCGGTGGGACAGACACTCCCCCGACTGACAGAGAAAAACACTGAAGCTCAGAGAGGGCAGGCAACTTGGCCCAAGGCTACACAGGGAGTTCAATCCACAGCTGTCTGGCTCCAAAGTCTGTTCCTTTTTACTACATCACACTTCCTTCTAGGGAGGAAGGGACTTACTTGAGTGATACCATGAAAGATACGTATTCAGAGCAGAGATAGAGCATAGGATTCAGACAGAGCTCCACCCAGACCTTGGTTTGCTCTTGGTCTAGCTGTGTGACCTTGGGCACGTAGTATAATCCCTCAGTTTCAGTTTTACATTTGTGGATGGAGGAAAAACCAGCCCCTACCCCTAGAATTGCTGAGATGATGAAATAATACTTATGAACCACCCAGCTAGGTCTTGGCTTGAACAGGAGCTCAGCAGATGTGTTTAGGACCACCAGGATTTGGCAAGGGAGGTGTAGATGACAGCTGAGGCTGCTCACTGGAGGGTTCTGGGCACTGAGCCAGGGATGTGGGTGAGGCTGCTTAGAGCAGGGCAGAAGCTCAGGGGAGCTGGTGGCTCAGGTTAGAGAGAGCACTCACAAAGGAGACCATAGGAGGACAAGATGGAGGGGGTCCACTGTGCAACAGGAAAGAGGGGGAGTTAGCAGAGTCACATTCCACAGGTGTCTCGGTAGGGCAGGGCCATTGTAGTCACATAGAGGAGGTCATTGGTGGACTTTAAGCAGAGGTTGTGTGCAAAAAGGTTTGTGGAATGAGGGGGAAGAGAGGAAGTGGAGGGCGTCCAGTGTAGAGAATTCTTCCCAGTTTTGGAAGCTAAGTAGAGAAAAGGAATTAGAGCTGGATTGGGAAGCAGAGTTGAGGAAAGATTTTTGTTGTTGTTGTTGGTTTGGTTTCCCTTCACTTTTCTGGGTAATAGGGAAAACTTAAGCAAGATATTAGGTTCTGAGTTTAGGCGCTGGTGACTCATGCCTGTAATCCTAGCTACTCAGGAGGCAGAGATCAGGAGAATCAAAGTTTGAGGCTAGCCCGGGGCAAACAGACTCTATTTCGAAAATACCCAATACAAAAGAGGGCTATTGGAGTGGCTCCAGTAGAGTGCCTGCCTAGTGAGCATGAGGTCGTGAGTTAAAACCCCAGTACTGCAAGCTATTAGGTTCTGTTTGCAATGGAAGATGAGGGTAGGAGCCTCTTTTGAGCAGGGGCTGCTTCAGACTGCCAGGGTCGACAGTCATGTGGTTACAATGTCTTATAGACAAGGGAGGGATTTCTCACCACTTGGCAAATTGGTCTATGACCTTGGTAAGGTCACAAAGAAGTAAAAGCCAGCTTATCCTGGGTCAGCAGTCCAATCAATATTTTGAGTTTGTAAAGCCTTGACATTGAATGGTACTCTTTGCAACCACATCAGTAGCTCTTTTGAGGTGAGAGCAGTCAGAAGGGTACTTACGGGGGTGTTCAAATTCCAAACAAAGCCATTTAAAATGGCTTGCACTCCCTGAATACTTTCCAAGTCACCCTCTCACAAATTGAGGCTCTTTACAGAACTCGAAATTCTCCATGGTAAGACAAGGGTGGCCTCTGTGCCACTGGACATCTAAGAAGGCCCATCTGGGCTACTGAAGACAGGTACCAGGCTTTCAGAGGGTGCTCTGACACCATTTGAGGAGTGCATTGCAACCATGAGCTCCTCAAATGGCTTCTGGAGGGACTGTGTTCTTTGGTCAAAAAAAAAAAAAAAAAAAGGTCAACTCGCTGAGTCCATAAGTGGGTTCCTGAAATGTGGGAGAAATCCAAGGCCACTTCAGTCTGCAAGTGGCCACTACAACTCAAGTGCAGGCAAAAACAAGTTTTAAGGAGGCTCTGAGTGGCCATGTTTGCATGACCTCTGTTGAGCCACAATGGGTCCAGCTGCCTCACCCCGCTGTCCCCACCCTCACCTCCTCACCCTAAACCTGGCGGGCTTCCTGAAGTCAACACAACCTTGCACTTTTTTGAGCATTAGCAAAAGGCTCAATGCAGGCTTGGTGCTTCCTGAAATTCATTGCCACACTTTCCTCCAACCCCTGTCTTTCAAGGTGGAATCATGTGCTCCCTCACCTGAGCTCCCTGAGCACAAGCCAGAGCATCTGCGACAGCCCATCAGATGGGTGTGTTTCCCCTCCAGACCACAAGCATCTCAGGACAGGATGATGATTTATGCCAACTCTGTGTTTCCATCGCCTGGCCTCCTGGTATCTGGCACAAGGGTGCCCAGAAGGAAGCCTTTAGAGGGAAGTGAGCTTCTCTTTTCAAAAGGAACTGCATGCAGTTCTCCAGAGACAAAGGCGTGAGTTGTTAGAGGACCTCAATGGCTAGACTCGGGAACCTCAGCTCCCTCCCTACTGCTCTGCTGGGGCCCCACGTCACCTACCTTCAGGACATCGCCAGCATGAAAGCTCAGTTCATCCTCACCTGAGGCCACGAAATCAAACTTGGCTACAGCTTCCATGTCTTGAGGTGAAGCTGGAAGACAAATAACGTGGTCATTGTGTCTTTCAGCCAGGGAAAGGCGGCAGAGCAGATGGCACTGCCTGGCAGTCTCAGCAGTAGGCAGGAGAGTGGCTGAGTGATTGTCCGCAGGTCAAGCAAGGCTCAGTCAACTGGCGAGGGCTGCGTATGACAAGGGTGAGCTCCTGTTTGCAGCAACAGCCGCTGGAGCCTTTGAGATCTGGTTCACTGATCGTTTTCGAACCCCAAGACACCAGGAACAGGAAATACAGCCAGTGACAGCCTTTCCCTTCTCCTTCCAGCTCCTTTCTGCCTGTCCTGGCCAGTCACCACTTCTGGGGGCATCTCTGTTTCCAGCTGATAAGGACAGAAGGCTTTCTATCAATTGGAACTTGAGGCCCAAGGGGCTAGGAAGACTGTTCTGTAAACACTGTCCCGAGGCTGTCCCTTGGCAGCTATATTTAACCAGGCGGTGTTAATTAGACAGATGCCATTTTCCCTTTTACATCTGAATCATTTAAGGGAATTAGACAGCATTGGCCAGTCGGGAACTCAGCGGCCGTCTGCATGGCTCCACTGTAGGAAGCATTTTGGTCTTGGAACTGGGAAACTGGCTTGGTCAAATAACTTACTTTATTATCATAGTGCAAACCCAGTACATTTCAGAAATTTCTATTTCAATATTTCTGAATTAAAATTCTGGCCTTTCTTCCTAATGCCTGTGTAAACATCCATGAGTCAGATGAGATAGTACATTGAGTATGAAATATAGTTTTTTTAATTTATTTTTTTTAGGAGGCTATGGGGTACCACAGAAATAAAGTGAGGTGGGACCCCAGTTTTCTTGGTAAATAGGTATATGATCTTGGGAAGTTATTAAACCTCTGTGAGTCTTAGTTTCTCCATCTGTAAAATGGAGACTTTTTTATATAAAAAATTTTATTAGGATATATTCATTATACAGGGCAGGGTTCATAGTGACAATTCTGATTAGACTTGTACATTCTTAGATCACCCCCATCGTCTCTCCCCCTCAACCCCTTCCCCGCACCACTTAAAGCAATTGCAAGAGGTTTCTTTGTTCCGTTACATATAAGGTATATGAAGTCCATCAACTGTCACCTTATCCATTTCATATAAAGTATATGAAGTCCATATACTGTCACCTTAATCTCCTTCATTCACCCTCTACCCTCCCATTACAGTGCTGTCTTTCATTATTAACATTTAAGTTGATGTTCAAAGGGGTTTCTCTATGTATCCCTGCTATGGGTATGCTTTATTTTGGTCCTAAAATGGAGATCTTAATATTCAACACACACTTGTGAGATGAAGATCAATAACAGATGCAAAGTATTACGATAAAGCTAAGGAAGCCTGGTGCTGATAGCTCACACCCTTAATAGTAACTACTTGGGAGGCTGAGATCGCAATTCGAGGCCAGCCTGGGCAAATATGTTCACAAGATCCCATCTCAAAATAACCAAAGCAAAATGGACTAGAGGGATAGCTCAAACAGTAGAGTGCCTGCTTTGCAAGCACAAAGCCGTGAGTTCAAACCCCAGTCCCACAAAAAAAGAAAAAAGAAAAGAAAAAGATAAAGGAGTATTTATGTTTCAAAATGATTTCATAGAACAATCTTCCCCCAGTGAGGCAGCCCAGTCACAAGCAGGACAAGTTTTGTCTCATGTCTCACTCTTCTATAAACTTTTCTCGTTGCAATGTGACAGTCTCCAGGACTACAAAAATCCTTTGATTCTCTGCTAAGACAGCCTATTGTCAGGGCAGAGTCTGGAAAGTTGTGGTTTGGCATTTCTATTTCTCAAAATTTCCCTAAGTCCCCAAACCCTTTGGGTAAGTTAATAAGTAACCCTCAGACCTAGCACACTTTCAGTCATCAGTAAATGGGAGCCACAGTTGTCCTCTCAGTGGGAATTTCTGACCCAGTATACAAGATTTGGGTGAATAAGGAAGGGGGCAGCAGGTAGCAGGGTGCAGCATGCAGACTTTAGAGGATTAAAGCTGACTGTGACTGGGTGATAGCGAGGGGGCCCAAGTCTCTGATTTCTTACATTTGTTTGGTTTTCTGAAGGTGATTTGTAGTGATGAAAATCCCCAATCCAAAGGTAGATATTAAGTGAAAGATTGCTCAGGAGACCAATAAAATGTCAGAGTTGGCTCTGAGCTTTTTCACTTTCAAAACTTATTTCTAAACAGCAACAACACAAATACACTTCTGTACACTTTCTTCAAGATCTATCCAGCTAAGGCAAATCAACATTTTTTGCAGCCTAAGTCAACCGGCTTAGCAGGAAGGAGTTAATGCCTTTGCTGATGTGATTCACCCCATTACGCTAACGTGCAAAGCTTCTCCTAATTAAAGCCTTGCCTCTGGTTTGCAGGGGGGATGTGGCTTTTGTGGGTCACCCTCATGGTATCCACAGCAGACGTTTGGTCACCTCAAAAGATCAAGTGTCGGGTGAATGGTCCTGAAAACCATGATCCCATTTCCATGCAGATTTACCTTAATAAGCAGAATGGAGACAAGGGAAGGGCAAACACTATGCATGTTAGAAAGCCACATAAATTAGATATGAAAAAAAGAAAAATCCAAAGCATGCCGGAGGTGTGACCTTGAGTTTGGGAAATTCTCTTTGATATTACAAGTAACACGGCTCAGGCCTGGGCGCTTGATCCAGACTGGCTGTAAATCACTTGGGTGAGAAGTCTGAGGCAGAAGTGAAATTGCCTCTGAATAGTGTCACTTTTCTCTGCCTTCCCCCAGGAGGCAGGCAGTGTGGTGGAGCCAGCGACATAGGCACATCACAGAGCTCCCCAGCTTGTAATATTAATCCTGGCTCCCCAAACCCAATTAAACAAACTCCCTCTTCATGAAATCACTTTGCAAAAAAATGTATTTGCTCCAATTTCCTTTTGTGAAATAAAATCTGCTCAGCTGCTGTTTGATGGGAGGGAGATGTCCAAGGTGGGATGGGTATGACAGGTTTTTGAAAATTCCTCTCATGAGCCCCACCCCCACCCCCCAACGAGGGCAGAGGATGGTAAATTCACCACCCCCAGAGTCTTCTGTTGCTCACTGAAAGGCAGGGGCCTGTATGTCCATTAGTGTTAATTTTGAAAAGTTTTAAAATGACCACCAGGGAAAAAGAAAGCTAAACTAATATAGTTTATTCAGTTTGTATTGATTTGCTTTTATAATCTGTATCTGGGGAGAGATAATATATATGATGGAGTGGCAAAAATCTGGGGAGTGGGGAAAGCAGTGGGGGTTGGGGGGAGGATGGGAAGGAAAGGGGGAGAGCCCACACAGACTGAATTTAAGAATGCAATGGAGTCTTCATGTTGCTGTTTGCAATTTCCGTGCTTCTGACTTCAGGGGGAGATGAAGAGAAAGACCCCTTTTCCCGGAATCTCACAGATGGATTCAAGTGATTTCCTTGCCAGTGATCAGCTTTAGAAATGGCTGAAATGTCACCTGCCTTACAGTATGAGAAGCCTCAGCCTCCAGGAAAGCCGAGTATCAAGCCCCGCCCGCCCCCCTCCACCCCTGAGCCTGGTTGATGAGGCCATTTGTGGGGCTCTAATGCCAGCTTTGCCTCTCACCAGCCCTTTGCAAACCTCACGCATTACCCATTAGCAGCCCTGTGGCACAGATTTGCTTCACCACAGGTAGCAGGACCGCCCGACATGACTCTCTCGGGTCCTTGCATTTTCACATAAGCTTCTTTTACCAGCAAAAAAAAAAAAAAAAACAAATCCCAAACAAAAAAGCCTGAAGGAAATTCACTCTATCTACCAGGAATGATTGTCTACTCCTAAAATATAGACAGTCACCATAGAGGATGAAAACAAAAGGCAGGAGATAGTTTTTTAAAATAACCTCCATTTGAAAGCCAGATTAAGTGATTTGTTCAGAAACCTAGTTACCGTCAAAATGGTACCAGGCAAGAAACTTCTTGAATAATTTCAGCTCCTCCTAAGTTGGCTATGAATACCCAAGGTTTCCATTTTATGAATCTCTTAAAAAGAGCAATTGCATAACACCACAAAATTAGGCGAAGTCAGGCTCAGGACCCAATGAAAGAGGGAGGCAAGTCCTAAACTGAATCAGAGATACCACTTCCTATGTTGCTGGGAGAGCTCTCATTTGAATACTTGTTCCAGTTGCAGTTCTGATAACATTTCTTGCAATTTTAAAAAGAGAGACTTTGCTTTTCATAAGTATTGCTGGTCACATATTTATCAGGACATTAGCCACAAATGTAATTTTTCTTGTGTATGCAGTGAAAACAAACAGGGACGAGTGTACATTTTAGGACTTTGGCTGCAGTTACCAAAAACAGCTTAGCAAAAAATGTAACATTAGACCAGCTACCTAATATCACATAACTGATGCCCCACAGTCTTTATTCTTATGAGACAGGGTCTTGCTATGTTCCCTATGCTGGCCTCGAACTCCTCCTGGGTTTAAGGGATCCTTCTGCTTCAGCCTCCCGAGTGCTGGGACTACTGGTATATGCTACTGTGCCTGGCAGAACCCACAGCCTTCCTGTTGGTCAGATAAAGCCCTGTGGAGACTATCAGGAAGAGCCCTTCCTTGCCCATGGGAACTGATAAGGTCAGCTCAATTACTTTTCAGAAGTAGGAAACCTTACACTACCAGGAAAAAAATGATTATAGCTAAGCCCTACTGTACACAATAGGAATGTCCTTGACTTTTATTATGAACAGAGTATTTGTAAACGAATTATATTAGCACGTATTATGGAGACTCACTCTACGAAGGAACCCTGTGGTGAAGCCCTTTATAAACCAAAATGGAAACTTTGTTATGCAAATAACTATCTTTTAATTGATCTGTTTTAAGTGTGTTTTCAGGCACTGAATCTTAAAACAGAGCACACCTGTATGTCACTTTTAGCTCCCCATACTGGAGACCAAATAAATATTAGCTTCCCCTTTTCTCAACTTCCAAAGCACTTTAAGAACTATTGATACACAGAGAACATTCTACCTTGGAATATAGACCAGGGGTTGGCAAATCTTTTCTATAAAGAGCCAGAAGGTAAATATTTTTGGCTTTGAGGGCAGTACAGTCTGTCAGCAATATCCAACTGTGCTGCTACAGCCAGACAAGCAGCCGTTAGATGATAAATGAATTGACACAGCTGTGTTCCAATCAAACTTTATTTGTGGACACTAAAATTTGAACATATATAATTTTTACATGTCACCAAGTATTATTATTATTTTGGTTTTCTCTCCCT